AATCCAGGTTGAAAAGAGCTATCTTTCTGGTGGCTGCTGTGAGCCGGCAGGAGCCCAGTGGGGAACCCTGTAGAAAGTTGGCTGTGGCTTCCAAGCTGTGGTTTGGCACACATCCTTCTCCAAGACCTCTGCCAAATATTCAGACTCCTTTTTAGTATTTTTTTTTTCCTTTTCATGTTGGCATTTTATTTAACTGTACCACATGAGTTTAAGGCTGTTAGTTTGATACACTTTGTCACCAGAATGGGCTATTTTGTGTGGAGTTCTTTGATGGAAGGTTAAAATACGAGGTGTATGTAGAAGGTGAACAAATTGCGTTGAGAGGAAGTTGTAGTAAAGGTAACATGAAGCAGTAACACTGGTATCAGGTCTGGTTAGTGTATCTCTCCTGCATCAGAATTTGACATCATCTTTGCATGCCAAGTTAAGGAGACCTTTGGTTCTCACGGGGGAAGTGTGGGAGAGGGGAGAAACACGGGCGCCCAACAAAACTTTCTGATCTTTCCCTAAGAAATTAAAACACAAATTCTCCAGCAGTTGGACTTGCTGAGCACAGGAGAGGAGTCTGGGGTGATCCTTCAGCACTTCCCTAGATTTTCATTTCCAAGGGCATCTGGGATTCCAGTGTGAACCGTTTACTGAGCTGAGCACTGACTGGGGAGTTGCGTCAGCTGCAGCAGCATTGTTCTGGATCAGCCTGACCTCTTTTAAAAAAATACGTATTTTTCCAACACTAATAAAAACCTTAGCTGAGGTTCTCTCTCTTTCTGTATGTGTGCCTGAGCACTAAATTAAAAAAAAAAAAAAAAAAATCCCAGATGTGAATCTATAAACCATCTGTTTAAAATAACTATTGTGCAGGACTGTAATTAAAAGTTATTTATTATGAATCTTGGGATCCTATTATGGATTTGACTGACTCCCAGGTTTCTGACTTAGCAAACGGTTTATGTATTTATGAGCCATGTGTCTCTTCCGCACTTCTTGGTGCCAGAGTGCATGTCCTTTAAACAAAAGGAAAAAAAAAATCCCCTACCCTCCCATAGCTGTTGGCTTCTGATTGTTGCCGTCCAAGAAGTTTTCTCTTAAGAACAGCAAAAATCAAAGTATCTGAGAGCTGTCAACAGATTCAGAGACACTGTTGACAACACAGATGGAGGTTTGCTAATACAGGTCTCCTGCATGCAGCTACTTAGTGACTTTCTAAATGTCTGACTGGGACAAGTAATGAAATGTTATGATTACTGGGGGTAGGAGGGGACATAATTGGAAGGAAAGGATGTGTTGCTTAAGTCCCATTTGCTCTCAGCCTCCACTTCACTCTTGTGAAATGGGAGGGAAGGAGGCAGCAAAACTGAAACAAGCAGATGGACACTGGACATTAAGAGCAGTGTTTTGGGCAACTGGATAAACTGGGTGAAGGAAAAAAAATCCTTCTGATGACAATTACTCTTTGTTTTATATTTATACTTTTACACCCAGTGGGCCCAGGAGATCTGCACTGGATAATGCCTGACTGCAATAGACTAAACAATGATTTACCAGCTCTGCTTTATCTGCTTCAGTCCTACGATGGATCAGCATGGTACATTAACCCTTTCCTCCACATCTGCTGGCCTTGTTTTCCAGAAGTTGCAGCATTGAGATAAAACATCTGGATTTTTTTAAAAAGAGTTTTAGGATTAAATCCAGTATTAGAAGCAGGAAAAGGTATGTGGATACACTTCCCTGGAGCTCTTAGTACAAGAGGGGTTTTGCCATGAAGACTATGTCAGTGCAGCAGTATGTTGCAACTGTGACTTTACTATATTTTTTTCAGCAAAAAGCCCCCAGAGGAGTGGTGAGGGCTGCAGCCCTAAGGGATGATACTATACTTTGCACCCTGGAAGAGCAGCCCAACCCTGATAGCAGGGACTTAGTCATCTTGGGATGACATCTGAAACAGCCACTTCTGGAGCCGTCTGGGACTTGCCTTTAATAGAAGCTAGGGAGGAGGAACAGAAGCTTTGAAAATCCCATCCCATTTAAGTGCTTAGCAGCTCTTCTTGTGCTGGAAAAGATTGACTGTATTTACCTGGCATACACGGAACTGTTCTTTGAGGCAGAAGGGTGCAGCTTCTCCTCCAAGGGACAGAGCTGACATTTCTCTTTTCTCTCTAAAAAAAAAAAAAAAAAAAAAAGACAGAAAAAAAAGAGGTGCAGGGTGGTGAATGTGGCACCTCCTGCCCCCCTTTGAACACTATGCTGTGACAACTGACTTTTGAGACAACGATCCAGGTTTAGTGCCCTCCACATCCAGAGGCAAGTCAATGATTCAGCTCCTGCTTTCCTCAGAAGCATCCTTGCTGTGAAGACCAGTGACTTTTGTGAGCAAGAACAAACCTCTTTCTGCTAAAGCCAGGCCACTGAACAGCAAGTAGTTCAAGGTTTACTGGGATAGAGAAAGGAAATGTGAATATGTAGTCTACTGCTTAAGACGCCCTCCAGGTGGGAAGGACCCTTCAGTTCTTGTCACTGTACTGTGGGTCACCAACATTCTTCATGCAGAACAGCTACTTAATGCAAAACACTCCTTGGCACCAGGACAAGAACTCCAAAATCTTCCCTCTCAGAAAACCTGCTAAACCAACAGCTTTGCTGGTGATTAGGAAAGAAGAGTGAGACCCAACTTTGGCTGCCCCCTGGGTTGGCTCAATGGTACCAAACTCATAACTGGCAGAGAATTTTGCTGATTTAAGCAATGTGGGGCCAACAAGAGGCTTTTACTTAGGAACAATAACTAGCAAGTATCTCCTGTTTAAAATATGTATGTCAGGGCCATCCTTAGGAACTTGCATTGCCAACCAGAGACCAGATTGTTTGGTTTCATCTTCCGTTGCCAAAAAGAAGCAACCGTGTCAGGATGTACCTGAGGGCAGAAGAAGGCAGATCGCAGTCAGGGAAGACAGAATGAGAAATTGCCTAGGAAGCTGGACTGCATGAGGCATTTGCCCCAGCAGACGCCTGGGAATCAGGGAACAAAAAGAAATACAGAGCTGAATTATACTTCCCGTCGCTCTCATTGCCATCTGCAACAATAATTTCTTCTTTTGGAAGAGAGAGTCCAATGGGTAGCTGCCCACTGAACCCCCTGATGTGGGTCCAGCCCAGCTGGAGGTTGGTTCTCAATGGCACTTTGCATCTTGCTTCTCTCAGAGGTACATGATGCGTGCTGCAGATGGGTAAGCCATGTTCTCCAAAGAAAGAGACTCTAAAGTGAATTTTGCTCTTCTTTCACACCCACTTTCAGCATGCAGAAGATTTTCCCACGGATAAAGTTGGTGGGGCTGATGGGCTTATTAAATCTTTCCTTGAGCAAACTCTCATTAAAGAGAATCAGATCTTAGCAGAACCCTTTAAAATACCTCTGTATTTTAAACTACTGTAGTCGATTTGGTAAGCTTGATTCAACAGGCTTTATGGTAGCAAAGTGAGGGGGCACTATGTGCACGTAAAGGGAATCAAGATTTCACTGTGCACTTTAAAAAAGATGTCGAACCAGTTGCAATGCCTGTGCCGTGGCTGCTTTGTGCCAGTTCAGAGCTACATACCTGCCATAAATTCAGCTTAACTTGCCAGTTAAACAGCATTTATGGTTGCTCTGCTGGAGTGATGCAGAGCAGCCAGCACATAGCAGTGACCTGGCTTTTTACAGTAGTCGTTTGTGTCGCTGCAGCTGCGCTTTAGGGCCTGATTCTCATTTGCTGATTTCACAGTGTCTTGGTGAGAGTGAGTCCTCATTTACACTGATAAGACTGAAGTGCCTTTATAGCTCCCATCAGATCAGGCAGTGACTTTGAAGAAAATAAACCTCTGATTTTAGACAAAGAGCTGGAGTGTAATAAAAGCTGCATGTTATCCTTCACAAGCACCTTGAATGAGGCCACAGGGAGCAAAATAAAAAGACTGGAAAGCACAGTTTCTTTTCCTTTAGTTTTATGATTTACATTTTTCTAGCCCTTTGATTTTTTGATCTCTAATTAAGTCATAAGATGGGGTGAGGTGGGTGCTTGCATGAACTAGATGGCCACCTGTGTCACTTAATGAACTGAGCTACTAATTATAGGTGGAGGTGACTTCAGAGGGCTACTTTCAGTCAGGAATTTGAAGTAGCAAAACTTTCCTAAAAGAAACACCTAAAGTATTTGTTTTCTGTCCCTGTTTAATGGCAGGGATAACCAGAAGGGTTGACACCACTGGGGCAAGGTAGGCTATAAAAGGAATATTTCTGCTGCCTGCTGTTGCACATTCTCTATCAACATTCCTTAGTGTAGTCAGTGTGCTCTTTGGGCTTGGGAAATCACTGGCTTTTTGCCGTAGAAAGATGACACTATAGTGTACAGTGATTTTATCTGCTCATGGTTCTCTCAGCATTTTGGAGGAGAAAGATGAATTCCACTAGTCATCTTTTCTGGTATGGTATATAGTAGCCTCTTTTAAAGGACCTCTGGGTAGGCCAGGTAATACCACTAGCTAAAAATGATTTTCTGCAGTGGCAGAGTTTTGTCTTCTCTGAGGTTGCCAGCTCTTCCTCTGCCATTTGGCCTTCTGTTGCCATAAGAAGCAATTCCTGAGCTGTGTAGTTCATAGGGCAGCACCTCAAGACCCTGAGCATATTTTGACAATGCATCGTTTAGGTAGTTGTTCATTGAAGTAACGTGGATTTCTTCAGTGGGGCACATTTTCTTTATGAGAATGGGTAGCAGTCATGAATTACTGTGGAAGTGCAGTAAACACCATTTACTTGGGCCCTTGAATTATTAAAAGACTGTTCTGTACTGCATTCCTTCAAGGGGAGAGAGATGTATTGAAGCATCTTCAAGGACCATTCCTGAAGTGAAAGAGCAGACTTCTAGCCTTGTGTTTTATTTTCTGAATTGAAAGGAATGGTAGCCTTGGGTTTGGTTTGCTTGCAATAGCTTTTGGTTTTTTGTTTTTTGTTTTTTTGTTTTTTTTTCCAGAATAAGGAAGTGACATGCAAAAGGGAGAAGTGTCCAGTGCTCTCCAAGGACTGTGCTCTCGTCATTAAGCAGAGAGGAGCTTGCTGTGAGCGTTGCAAAGGTGTGGTTCCCTTCCTGTTGTTTCCCACTTTTTAAAATGTGATCAGTACACATTTAAGTTACCAAAGATAGGACAAAGTTTGGAGCTTCTCAGTTGGGACTTGGCTGTCACCAGAGGCTAGAAGAGGGCAGTAACCATAATCAAAATATATATGTTTACAAAGCTGGTGGAGATACACAGCTTCACATATTTTTCCTGCAATTATTCCTTCTTACATGGTGATGGTCCTTCAGAAATACAACTTTATTCTTTGTTGCTATGTTGTCAGTCTTTTAAGAGTTATGTCCTAATTTTTTATATTTTAGATGAACATCAATCTGCTAATAGTCACCACTCAATAAGAATTCCTTAAACTTTTTGTGTGGTTGGACAGAATAGCAATAATGCTTCTGAGTAATAAAGAGCAGGGTAATTACACATGTCTGTTCCTATTTCTCCTCATACTGGAAACAAATCAAGTAAATTTTATTCATTGTTCTTAACATTTCCTGATTCAAAGAATATTATTGTGGACATTTTTATGAAAACCAAATGAGCAACAGTATGAACACTATACATTTATTTATTGATCAATACTATATATTCTAAGCTCTTTGGAATGAGATAATTATAAAAAAAAACATTGTGTAGGCATGCATGGCATGTATCTACTATGCTTAACCACATGACAAATATGCAAGTAGATGAAGTTGAAAACTAGGGTTTTTTATGTTGATGCAGTAAGCAATGTGCTCTAAAACACTAATTTTGCTGAGGGGCTGCTGACATAATGAATAAGGTTGAGAACGTCAGATTCATGCAGCTTTACTTTACTTTTACTCTGTTGTTTTTAATTCCCCACTGGTGATTGTGTGGTATTGGGAGGGAGATAGGGTAGGATAAATTGTTAGGAAATGGAAGCATTCATTGCTTTCCCAGGGGAAATACAAATGCAGGAAAACAGATTACACTGAAGTTCAGATGGAAGAGACATAATGGATGTATATTTTTCCTGAATGGTTGCAGAGGTTTGTTAGATGCTGTGCTTATGATGTGCTTCTGTGCTGCAGCTTTGGAATAGGTTTGGCAAGCCCCAGTTCGAGGATTTGTCTAGAAACCTGATGCTTAAAAGAGAAGGAAACGAACTGGAAAAAAATTAAATCATTACTGAAACAGTAAGAATTTGAAGTTGCAGGTTTTACGTAAATTACATGTGATTTATTTATTTTGTAAAATAGTGTTTAGTGTCAGCTTTACAGGAAAAGGTTCCTAAGTGTCGGTTTGGTTAGGATGAAGGTTGATTTTTCATTTCCATAATGGGATATGTAATTGCTCAATGGTGTGAAAATTTTATATGCATACATATACATATGTGCATGCATGCATGCAAAATTAAAAGAATGGATGTTTCAAAGCTGGGAATACAAACAGTGTTTTATTTCAGACTCTCTGTAAGATTTTCTGTTTATCCTGAATTGGGATGGGTACCTAAGGAACATTATTAATAGACTTGAGCCTGGCATCTGCAGATTCATATACCTGACATCTCTAATGGGATAATTAATAGAAACTGTTAAAAAATGGAATTAGGAGGGCCGTGGATACTTGAGATAGAAGAGTTAGTTAGAGTCCTTTGGATGTATCAATGCACAGAGAGATCCCACTAACAGGCATCCAGTAAGATCCCTCACTAAAAAAGTACTAAAGAAACTGAACAGCCCTGAGTTTGTAGAGAAACTTCTAATCAACAAATAAGTAACAAGTGAAGTATATGATCCTTTTCATAGTGAAAGATGGTTGCCAGCACATCCTTGCAAAGATCTCAACTTCTCAGTGTGCTCAGAAGTATAAACTGGGAAAGGGGCGAAGGGGGACAGAAAATGTGCTGCTGCTGATCTGATCTCTGTAGCATTGTAAAGGAGGAGGGCTGCCTACAAGGAGTTGGAGAAGGTTCTCGGAACACTGAATAAGGGATGACAAAGCAGCAAGTTAACATGGATGGAAATAAATGTGTGCACACAGGACAAAACAGTCCTAACTTTATAAATATAATACTGGGATCTGAGCTGACAGTTACTGATTAGCAACTGTTTCTGTGTCATCAAAAGTACTTCTGTGGTGTGATCAGCTCAACTCTCAGTAGCTCTCCAAAGGGGAAACTGAATGTTAAGTTTGTTAGGAAAGGAGTTGCGAACAAAACAAAATGCCCCATTTTCCCTCTGTGTGAGTCAGGTAGGATTCTGATTATTGCCCTTCTGGAGGCTAAAGTAGAACTATGGACCTTGCTCTGTATTTTTGACACTCTCCTAGGTGTCTCTTATTGGCTGCTGTCAGACAAAAGACTCTTGGTTAGAAGAATGCTTGGTCTGATCTAAGATAACAGTTTCTATGTGCTTAAAATGCAAGAAGAACTTTAAATTTCAGAATTTAAAGAAAAAAAAGCTCTCAAGGGCTTAATTTTCAATGTAGATGTGAAATTTTGGACTTAATTTTTCTGCTCCTTCTGAAAGGTAAAGCAAAATATGCACCCATTTAACTGCAGCAGTCCTGACACCACACATTGTCACCAGATCATTCTGGTTCCAGCGGAAGAGGCTGATGGAGCCACCTCTGTCCTCAGGAAGGCTGCTTGCTCTCCTGAACACTGCTGAAGTTCCTGCTCTGTTATGTGCAAGATCCAAAATGAATGTCCTGTGGGGTGTAATTGGGGAATCAAGGCTGGAAATACCAGCCTGGCTGCGTAGCACTTCAGCTGCTCCCTTTGGTGTCCCAGCAGCTCCCCAGCACTCCCTGCACGAAGCTCAGCTGCAGCTGGGACTTGGCCCTGCAGCACTTGTTCTCAGTTACTATTTTGTCAGGCTGCCAAAGTGCCCATAGGGAATGCAAGCAGGAAAAGGAAAGCAGGGTTTTTTTTTTTTTTTTTTAACTGGTTGCATTTCATCTAAATGTGAACAAAATGTTACGAAGAAAAGATATCAGAATCTGATGGCTTTTTTCTTGGCTTCATTCCAAAGCCTGGAAGAGCTTAATCAGGCCTTACAGGCTCTTGCCAGCTCTCTTTGATAGCTTCATGTCTTCCTACCTTGTGAGGAAATGAATGAATGAATGAATGAATGAGTCAATGAATGAATGGCTGCTGTCATTTGAATGCAACATCAGAAGGATAACATTAGGACCAAAGGGTGTATTCCAGGACTGGCTTGTGTAGGAAGGAAACCACTGCTCAGGAGTCATTTGTGACAGCGCTGCCAGCCCATTTCATTCTGTCATGAGGAGCACGTGAGGACACATGCCCCCATTGCTGGGGGGGTTGGACTAGATGGCCTTTAAAGGTCTCTTCAAACCCAAACTGTTCTATGATTCTGTCTGTCTGCAGCGCTGCGTGCAGCTGAACTCTTGTATTGAGAGCTTTGCATACAGAAGAAACTGAATTGTTGGTAGAGAACTTTTCCTGCAAACAGTTGTGTACTGAGGAGAAGTTCCTTGTTTCTGTCTGGGTATTTGTATGCTACTTAGATAATTTCTAGCACCTTTTTTTTTTTCATATTTCTCAATAAACAGAAAAAGTAAGGAAGAGCAGCGAATCAGAAAATTCACTGTGGTGGAAGTGAACATAGGAAAAGATTTGTCTTTACTTAATCTCAGAATCATAAAATATTGAGTTAGAAGGGTCCCACGAGGATCATCAAAGTCCAGCTCCTGGCCTTGCACAGGACAGGCCCGAGAATGTGTCTGAGAGTGTTGTTCAAACAACAGTTCAAACAAATGCTCTTGAACTCTGTCAGCCTTGGTGCTGTCACCGCTTCCCTGGGGTGTTCCAGTGTCCAACCAGCATCTGAGTGAAGAACCTTTTCCTAATACCCAGCCTAATCCTTCCCTGACACAACTTCATGCTGTTCCCTCGGTCCTGTCACTGATCACCACAGAGAAGAGATCAGTGCTTGCCCCTCTACTTCCCCTCATGACAAAGTTGCAGACTGCTAAGAGATGTAAGATTTAAATTAAGGCTTTGGATTTAAATTCTCCAGACTAGCCATGTGTTTTAACATTGTTCTTCACTTTAGGCCCACAGGACCTTGACAGTAACATTAGTGGGGCAAGGCCCAATTTTGCTGTGTGTTTGTGCAAAGTCTGGAACAGAAAAATGTGGATGATGGCTCCCTGATGCAAGGAGAGTAAAAATGACTAAGTCTAATTTTCAGGAAGCTTTTTCTTTTGACAGATATTTACTGTAGTTTACAAAACATACCATGTATCTCTAGAATACTATCAATTTTGAAAATACTAAAAAATTAAGCCCTCTTATTACTTTTGCATAGGATAAATAGGTCACTTTTCATCTCTGATTTTATTTAATATATTTAATGAAAACATATGAGATCACTGAGATTCTAGAAATAAGCATTTTCTTATGTAGTTGGTGGCTTAGATATAGTGCTCTCTACAAATCTAATAATAAATTATTTGCTCTGTGAAGAAAGGGGTATTACTGGCCCAGGACTGCCTAAAGTTTGCATTTCTAAAATGGTGCACCATGTTCTACTCTCTTATCCTAAGAATATGAATCTTCTGTGGATGTGCAAAGACAAATTTCCTGGGTATTTTTTTTACAACAGAGAAAATTTTTTTTAGAATTTTCTTTCATTTCCTGTGTGAAATTTTGAATTTTCTGTCCTTAACTTTTGAGAATTGAATTTTTTTGTTGTTGGCTTTTTTGTTTGGTTTTGTTTGCTTTTGGTTTTGTGGTTTTTGGGGTTTCTTTGTATATTTTTAATTATTGATCTTAGAGGTTCTTGTGTTATACTTCATTGATCTGAAACTACCAGAGAATGGAATCCCAGCCCAGGCAACAGCAGTGCTAGGTCCCCTGAATACTGAATATCCAAAGCTGTTGTAGTTAATTGTGCATTTCTTGGAAAGGATATCAAATACCTGTGTTTGAGGATTTCAACCCATTTCAGCAGCCAGTTTCAGCTATTAGGGCTGGGTTGCAAAGGGAGTTAGAGGGAGTTTAGAAGATT